GTATCGTCTTCTGGAAGCCTGACCAAATGTGGGTCTACCTACAGCTCATGGACCATAGCACCACCTTCTCAAGGCCAGTTGGGAACAGACAGTAAATGCTGACCCAGCCAGCAACACTCGTGTCCCATGAATTAATAACGCAAATGAGTCTTGGTAGGATGGTCAGCCATTGGATGGCATCTGAATGGGATCTAATATCCTGTTTTGAGCTGCCTGCACCTGTAGGTAACTGTTTAGCGGTTGGGAACAAAATGGAGATTTTTTCCTCTGGGCCCCGGGAATACTGAAGCCACTGGTACCACTTCAGGTTACCGTACTGGAAGAACAGATGCCAACTTTGTCCTAATGGATGGTTGATCCTGAGACCCTTACAGTCTGGAATATTCAGCATCTCGCAGTGTGCTGCATTAATTCACTGAGCAATTAGGAGAACTGATTTATTTTAGCAGATCACAAGCAATTGAAGAATCATATTTTGTCAGAAACATGATGTTTAGTAAAGGAAAAGAAGATAAGCACTGCTTTGAGGAATGTATGGAAATTTGGTACAAAAGCAACTGTCATCTCAGGATCTGTATGAGCATGTATTTCTTCCTGTTGAGAATTTCCAAGCAATTTCATTGAAATCTAAAATTTATGGGTCCTCTTTCAAAAATATGTTTACGGAGATAGCTTGAGGCTACATCAGGAAGTGTTCTGTTTCTACAGTTAGTCACCCAGCAACAGCCCCATCATTCATGAGATAATTTGAGTGTAAAATGGTAGCCAATGTCTGATCATAACTCGGGGGTAGGTTTCCAAGTGCACTTCAGTGGCAAGACATCGGTAGTTCCTTTGATTCATTTCTTATCCTGCCAGTGTGCATTGTAAGGTTACAAAGGCGTGTCGTGCTCTGTTTTCTAATACATGCTGTTAGAATGGTTTATGGAAGCAAAGGTGAGAGGTTGCACAAGCTCAGAGACAACTTCATCAGAGAGGCCATAGAAAGCCAACCACTGGATTGGGATTTCAAGAGCACAAACAAGGGACCCATGTGACCATGTATTGCTGACAGGCCTGCGACTCACGACCCTGCAAGCCATTGCTAGCTTCGTGCTGCTAAACGTGTGAACTTCGTGAAGCCCAGGGACAGTCATTTCCTTGGTGCAGCTACGTGTTGGAGCTCGGTGGCCCAGGAACGATTGTTGGCAGCACAGGGACGGGGCCTGTATTCGGGTGCTAGAGTACAGCCAGGCAATGCAGGGTTACTCGGACTTAAAAGGAATTCAGCTCAGCTGGAAATCAAGACCAAGAAATCTAGACCTGAGACCAGATTGAGAGACGTCTGGAATCATTCAGCTTTTGGTTGAGAAAATTCCATGTGGACTTTGGGTGGAGTAGAGTGGGCTGGAGATCTCACGAGGAGCTGAAATTCCTCGGGAGGAAGACAGAGTTTTAAAGTATTTTCATGATTCACAATAATAACTGGCCTCTGAGAGGTTTGCTGAGAGATTTGGGAGATCTGGGTGTGCCATTGAATGTGCATTTTGTTACTTGGTCTGCCATTATTGATTTATATTGACTTCAGTTCAGTTCTGGAGAATAAATGATAAAATGGATTGTGATGACCATTTGCTTTATTGACTCTTGCGTCTGTTGTTTGCAATCGTAGAAACTTATGGCTTTATTTTGCTGAGTAAGAAACTGGGATTTCAGGTTTGTTCTACTTGTGCAATAAATGTTACTGGCCTCAAACTGGTTTGGAACAAAGGTCAGATCTCATCTGGTGCAGTAACACTATGGTGGAGCTCTAGGTTTGGGAAGACTGTCCTCTGCAATCAGCATCTTCAGTTATTCTGCTGTTATCACTCACAAATGAGAACATTCTGCCATTGCATGAGAAGTAATACTCAAGAAGCTTAGAAGTAATTCCATATCACTGGGAGCCAGGATGCCTGTTGAAAGGCAGGACCCCATTGGCATCATGGTAGCCAGGCTCTGTCTCTCCCAGCTGGAGCAGAATCTTCTTGAAACATAGGGATGTCAGTAGCCAGCAGGAGAGCTGGCAAGAGGCTTCTGCCGCCTTTTCCAGGGAAGGCCCATGGAATCACAAACCAGTCTGAAATAACAGCACAGAGGCCAGTATCCCATCACCAAGTCGCCCTTTTATTTAGATGTGCACAGTACATGGGCTCTGGCCAGGCAGCTCAGAGCCAGCCCCTAGAACGAGGAGACTCTCTGAATTTCCTGTTTATGGCTATCAGTCAGGGTTCCCTGATTGGGATTGTTAGCCTGGGCCAATCAAGGACCTCCTAGTCAGGGATTCACCTGACCGTCGTTCCTGCACCACAATCGGGCAAAGATGAGGCCAGCAGTCGGCCTCGCTTTGGTGGTGGTGGTGGTAGGGGCTTGTGGAAGTCATGCCTAGCAAAACGTCCAACCAGAGTTTGGCAGCTCTTGCACTCAGCAATACCACAGTGGAGCCTGTGGCTACTGATGGAAGAGCAAGCTGGAGTCCTCGGAGCACAGATGCTTCAGGACTAAAGGGCCTGATGTTGGGGTGGGGGAACAGTGTATCGCATTAAGTGCCAGAGGAAGAGGGTGCAGGAGGGTTCAAAGTAAAGACAGAGAGTGGAACCCGGTGGGCACCTACTGCCAGACCATTCACCTGATGGTTTGGTTACATGACCTGGCACTTTGGTTGAGGGATGCCCTCCTCATTGAGGTGACACAATGTTGTAGGGTAGCAGCTGACATGCCTGCCTGAAGCTGGGCTAATATGGTGGCGTTGGGCTGACACATGTAATGGTCCTCATTCTACCATTTAATGCCTTATCCCCCATGATTGCTCTCATCCTCATAGTCCCCTTATCCATCAATGCACCCTGAACTCCACTATACCCTCATTCTATATATGCTATCTTAGCCAATATCCTAGCCAATATATTACCAAAACTTATGAGCCCAACATTAGGAAATCTTTGAGCAGCTCCTGTATCTTAAAAATAAGTAAGGATTATTTTGATATCCATGTAGAAAACCATTATCCACTTAAAATATCATTTGTTAATGTAAATGAACAATCCTTGTGTATTCACTTACAAATACATTATTCTCTTTACAACACATAAGTATGTCAAAATAAACACACATCTCTGGAATATCCATTTAAAGATGTTGTTCTCTTAACAATTCATGAATAGGAAGACACAATAAACAAGCTCACATTTCCTTTAATAACTGCACGAAAAACCCCTCCTGAGCAGAATTCATTTGTTTTTCTGGATGTTGGCCAAAAGTTTATATTGAGATTACACTATGTTAGTTCATGCAGGATATGCTTTATCTTGTTTTGTCTTCTGTCTCTCAGTCTTTCCACTTCATCAGAAAGTAGAGGTTATGTTCTCTCCAATATTCCAGGAACCCAAATGGGCTACAACACCTGAGTTACAGGGCCTTTTGCACTGTCAACACAGAATAAAATATTGCTCATATCAGGCTTGCTTATTTAAATTAGTCATTTTAAAAGTGTTCAATTTTAATTACTTAAACTGTGTTAAAGGGGAGGCAATGACCTGGTGGGTATTACATCCACACTATTCATCCAGAGATCCAGTTGATGTTCTGAAGATGCAGGTTCAAATCCTGCCATGCCAATGCTACAATTTGAATTCAGTACAAATCTTGAATTAAGAATCTAATGAAGATTACATGATCGGTTGTTGAAAAACCCATCTTGTTTACTTATATCCTTTAGGGAAGGAAACAGACCTCCTTACCTGATTTGGTGCACATGTGACTTCAGATGCACAGCAATATGTAATCTCAATATGATTTGGACAACTTCCAGAAACCCACAAATGGATACTGCTCGGCAGGGGTTGTTGGCACAGCTGTCAAGGGAGAATTTAGCTTGTTTATTGTGATTTATTATGACTCTTAACTACCCTCTGGGCAGTTAGGAATGGACAATAATTACCTGCCTAGCCAGTGATACCCATATCCCATGAATGTTGCAGCAAAACATTCTAGTTCCATCTTTATTAATAACAACGAAATAAAGTAAGTAGAGTTAAAGATTAGAAACTGCATGGTACATAACAGATGATATGCTAGTGAATTCCTCACCAGCTTTCCTAGAAGCACTATTATATAACCAGTCCAGATTGGAATTTTCTACATCTGTAGCTTTGCTGTACTGTAAAGTAATCACACTTATCATGTCATCTCTGGGCCTCAAACCCATGCACAACCTTCTTTCCTACAACTGAAAAGGAGATTAAATCTAAGTTGTCCTTCGACTCATTATCAACTCTAAGTCTGCTTGTATTAAATCCTTTCATCCTTGGTGCCCAGGGACAAGTCCCATTAACTTAGGTTTTTCAACTTGAACATAGAGAAACATCTCTTCCTGTGTTTATAAAAGCCCTAATCTATGAATCCTGATTGTATTGAATGTGGTTTTAAAACTAAAATTTCCATTGGGATATTGTGTGGTCTCTTTATTTAAGCAAGGATAAAACAGCATTGAAGCTGAAGGGTCATTAAATTGTTCCTTCCATTGAGAGATTATCTAATGATGAAAGGCTGAATGAATTGGACCTATATACTCTGAAGTTTAAAAGAATGGCATGTGATCTTATAGAAGTGTACAAGATTCTGGCGTGTTTGGTATGGCATGCAGAGAGCGATTGTGATATCACCGGGACTTTACAATATGGGCACACAAGCTCAGAAAAGGAGCTGATCATTTAGTACTGAGTTGAAAGGAAGTTACTTCACTCAATGGCTATGAATCTCTAATCCAGGGTGTTGTGGACTTTACGTTCTTAAATGCGCTAAAGTCTGAGATACACAGATGTTTCCTCTCTCCGGGATAGACAATGAGGAGCTAGCAGGAAAATAAAGTTGAAGCCCAAATCAGCAATGATCGTATTGAATGGTAGAGTGGGCTTGATGGGTTACGTGCTCTAAAGCTCCTGCTTTTATGTTTTTACAGAATATGCTTCTTATGTTCACAGGTAGAGAAGCAACGAGCTGATCTTTCCAGGGAGCTAGAAGATCTGACTGATAAACTGGAGGAAGCAGGTGGAGCAACCGCATCCCAGGTAGTAATTCAGTGTTATTTTCCATTGCCTGCTTGCTGTGTTTTGTTAATCCTCATTTTCAATTAACAGTGTAGATTCGGACATATTTATATGGTTTATCCCAGACACACTGTGAGGGAATGATTACTAGAGATATCATAAATGTCTTTAAGGTTTATGTTGTAAAATCATAATTCGTCACTTTTCAAGGGGACATTTAGACATCTTTGTGCTCTTTACTAAGGCACTGGGCAAAATTACCACTCATTTAATAAAACATGGTCTCCATTATACTGGTTCCTTATTTACAGAAAAAAATCTACAAAAAAAACCCCTCTTTACAATCTTTAAAATCTCTTCTTACAATCTGTGCTCTCACTGCAATCATGTTTGCATATGCTTCCTGTTGTTGTAAGTTGGAATAATTTCTTAGAGTCAGAAATAAGGGAATGTTCTGAGGAGAGTTGAGTGAAAGGAAACACCTGACAATGTTTTTGCCATTCTTACTTCCTGTTGGGATGTAGAATATCCAGTGAACATTTTGTCCAGCAGCAAGTTCAATGTGAGTGAAACAAAATTCCATCCATTCTTTTGGTTGATCGATGGTTGTTGTGTTTACATAAGGTTAAGTCTTCAATGTATTAACTTCAAGATCAAACGTTAACAGGAAAAAAAACAGGGTCGTATTGGCCTTTTTTCCACCAGGGTCTTGAATTTTGTGACAGATAAAGGACAGACAGGCAAATTAGAATCTAATACAAGACTGTCTTTATTAGTGATTAGTTCTTACTAAGCACACCATTAACACGTTATCTAATTGTCTGACTAGTATCTAGGTACCACCCATACATGGCAAATCGTGCGGGTTCATTCGACGAGTCTGTTCTTCTGAGTTCCAAACTCAGGGTCTTCTCTTCACACTGATTGATCTCGAGATTCACAGCCAATGTCTAGATGTGCCTTCCTTTCTATGTTTTCTCCCAGTCTTCCACGCTGCTCGATGTCAAGCCTCACTTACACAAAAAAAAGCCTTGTAGTTTAGAGCTCATTTGCCCAAGGGTCATGTAAGCAGGAGATGTCTTGTGTTTCTGTTGTTAGCACCAGACATTTGCTTTGGTCAGCAGTCTAGCTTCACCTCCCCCTTTTTACAGCAAGCTGAGTCAATGTCTTTGTGAAGTTTGCACAAGTTTCCATGATGCTTGTCGAGTTTCACTTGTGAGCTATGGGGGTCACAGTTACCCAAAGGATCACAGTAGAATAAACTATTTCCACTTATTGGGGATTCTAGAATTTAGAGCATAATCTGAGAATTAGGGCCCGGCTGTTCAGGAGAGATTATAGGAATCACTTCTACTCGCAACGAATGGTAGATGTTTGGAACCATCTGCTGCAAATGGTAGTGGATGCAGGATCAGTTGTTAATTTTAAATCAGCGATAGATTTAGATTAAACAAAGGTATGAAGGGATGTGGGTCAAAGGCAGGAATATGGAGATCGGCCACAGATCAGCCATGATCTCATTGAATGGCCGAACAGACTTAAGGGGCTGAATGGCCTACTCCTGTTCCTATATTTGCATTTCAGTTACTGATGTAACACTAAACTCCCAGGAGGCTGGGTGAGTAAGCGTTCCCACGTGTTAGTACAGGATCGTACACACAGGAAGTGTCCTTGTTTTATATCTGTATTTGTTGATGAATTGGCTGATTCTATTCAACGTATCACCCTCCGTTTGCTGGGCTGGGAAAGGATAGAAAGATCAACATAGCTTCCTGCTCCTGATGCTCTCCAGTGATTCCCTGCAGAAAGGCGGATGCCAGTGGTTCAGCGTCCTGACATTCTTCATTGGTGTGTGAAGACAGGGCAGCTGGGTCATGGAAATACGTCACACCTCAACTCCTATCCTCAATGAGGCTCCACACCTTTAGGAGAGAAGAAAAGGAAATTGTGTGGACAGAGGACCACAGGGTGGGGTTGGGGAGAGGAGTTTCAAAGGAAAGTATAGAGCAGCATGAAAATTCTGTGACAGTCCTAAAAGTAGAGTGGTGAATGTGGCCGTTATCTGTCGAAATTCCAGGTAGACTGTGGGTTTGAGACACTTTGAGCAGGTTTTAGTAAAATGCTGAGAGTCAGGATGGCATGGTGAATTATATTTTAAAAGAAAAAAAATACCATCCATTTTGTTGGATGGACATTTGTTTTAAGCAATTTAAATTGGATTTTTTAAAATTACTTTTGAATCTGAATAATGGGAAATAGTAAGCAAAATATTAAGAAGGGAAAGAAAGACTTTTCTCTGGTCTTGCTGAGTGATTTTGCTCTCAGTCATGCAAAATATAGATCAGTGGCATGTGTTAATCTCTCTCAATGTTTTGTTGCCATTGAAGTCAAAAAAGGTTGTGATAAAGCAGACATTGACAAATGTTCAGTAACCAGAGGAGACAGATTTAAGACAATTGCCAGAAGAACTAGAACAGGGATTATTTTCCTTACAGCAGGTTTCCATGGCTCTGAACACACTTAGGGGATGATGCAAGAGTGAGTTTCAAAAGGAATGCCGTAGGGAATTGAAATTGAAAATTTTCATGACAGACGGGAAAATGCTGCATGTTGGCACTAATTCGGTAGTATTTGTGGAGCGGGCACAGGCTTAATGAATTTAAGTGGCTGTTTTCAGTTCTGTATGTTTCTCTGAGTGATAGCATCTAAGTCTGTAACAGGAGTTGAAGATAAAATGGAACTCTGGATCTGTACAGATGCAGATTGAATTATGCCACTTACGTGGGAACTAAAACTTTTGTGTGGGTTTTCCTCCCAAAGGGTTGAGTTGAAATTAGCTACAAAGAGCAATGAAAATAAAATGGAGAGATTTGTGAACGGGCTGGTGATTCACTCGCAATTAATTCATAATTTGCACAAATTTGGGTTCTTCAGAAGAGTCTAGGCCCGAAACGTCAGCCTTCCTGCTCCTCTGATGCTGCTTGGCCTGCTGTGTTCATCCAGCTCTACAACTTGTTATCTCAGATTCTCCAGCATCTGCAGTTCCTACTATCTCTGAAACCACTTGCACTTATGTGGGCCTTCACTGTCGTGAGAAATTCCAGGGTGCTTCACAAGAGCATTACCATGAGAGTTATTTTGATTTTGGCTGTGGAGGGAGCTGCAGGCTGGAAACTGAGGTTAAGACCACATTTGGATCAGCTACAATCTTACCAGATGACTGACAGAGCAGGCTGAAGGGGCCGAATAGCCTAGTACTGCTCCACTATTTCTAGTGGCCTAATGATCTTAGTACGATATTTGCGGAAGAGGAATATTGTAAAGATGTGCCCCTTTAAGGGCAAACTGGGATCTCTCACATTTAAAGTCTTTTTTTTGATCTTTCTCTTGGAGATTGAGATGAATAAAAAGAGAGAGTCGGAACTGCTGCGACTGAGGCGTGAACTAGAGGAGGCTACCCTGCAGTCGGAATCCACAGCTGCAGCCCTTCGCAAGAAACACGGGGATACTGTAGTGGAAATAACCGAGCAGTACGAGAACCTGCAAAGGATACGATTGAAAACAGAAAAGGAGAAGCAAAGCATGAAACTGGAATTGGATAACATGACCCTCACCATTGACAGCCTCCAAAAAGCCAAGGTAATGCAGTTGTTTACGATAAATTGGTTGAACTCTGTCACTCTAAATACATACAATATACATTTCTTCCAGATCGTGCCCAGTTTATTTTCACCAAAACTGTTTGCTCCTAATTAAGCCAAATTTTTTTTTCCACCACTCTGTTGCCCACTATCCAGGGCAGCCCGGGGTCTCAGTGGTTAACACTACTGCCTCACAGCACCAGGGAACCTGACTACGATTCCACCCTCGGGCAACTGTCTGTATGGAGTTTGCACATTCTCCCCGTGTCTGCGTGGGTTTCCTCCGGGTACCCTAGTTTCCTGCCACCGTCCAAAGATGTGCAGGTTAGGTAAATTGCCCATTGTCTAGGGATGTGTAGGTTAGATGGATTAGCCCTGGGGAATGCAGGGTTACAGGGATCAAGTAGGGGGTGGGATGATCTTCAGTGAGTCAATGTGGACTTTTTGGGTCTAATGGCCTGCTTCCACACTGTAGGGATTCTTTGACTCTCTGAATTAGAGAAATGGTCGAAATTGCAGAATTACTCGGCCAACTTGAACAGAATCTCTACAGCAAAAAGTTACAGTTTAAAAATATGCGCAGCTCTGAAGCAGAGTCATATCAGGCTCGAAACATTAACCCTGTCTCTCCCAGCACGGATGCTGCCAGACCTGTGGAGTTTCTCCAGCACACTCTGTTTCAGATTTCCAGCATCTGCAGTATTTTATGTCTTTACGCCACAGCCAACTGATTATTTAACTAGTACTTTTAGAAACTTACAGCAGGGTTCAATTAAAGAGAAACTCTGCCAGCTGCAGCAAGAGTCTCCTGATAAAAGCAGGCTTATTTCTCCAGCAGCGAGTGGAGGATAGTTGCGCAATATAATTTCTACGAGTAAAATCAATCACACTCAGGTCAGCAGCATGGGTTCGAGATGTAATCAGTGGGGTAGCTGCCCAATCATCTCCATCGGTGTGGAGATTTGTAGTGAAGTGGAGTGCAGCCTTGTTAATTTATATAGAATGGCCAGTATAGCAAAACAGCAGGGTCTTAAAATTAGAGCTGTACTAATAATTAAGCTATTATTCAGGAGTCAAATTGCAAAGAATGTTCTCTCACATGGGGCAGTGAAAATTGCTCCTTCCAAATAGGTTGCAGCATTAATACAGAGATAGGCATCGGCTTGGGAAAAACGGGGCACTTGGCCGCCTTCCTAAATCCAGCGATACCACATGTGGTTGTGCCTGGAACTTTTTCTTTTCCCACAAAGTGTGCTTGCAGTGCGTTGTGCAAACCACAATGGGGTTTGGGTGCTAAGGCGGGCTGTTTAGAAGGCCTACCCTTGTTCCCAGTGACAGCAGCTGAGCTTTTAACATTGTTTAAAGGCCCTGCTAAACACTACCCCCACCAATCCCTTCATTTGAAAGAGTATTTTTCCTGTCGGCTTTGACATTCCTCACTTCAGTGACGAATTCACTGGAAATAGTTTAGGTAGCTTCACTTTACCTTTGTTGCTGTCTCTAATGTCATTTATTACATACTGCAGGCTGGGATCAGCTATTGAAAGCTGCTGCGTGCTCATTTTAGCTAGTCCCTGAGGTCTTGTGTGTTGTTCAGATTTGCAGTGATGCCCAGATCCGCAAGCTGGAAGACTTGCTGTCAGAAGCCACTTCCAAGAATGAAGAGCTGCAGAGGTCGCTCACTGAGCAGAACCTTAGCAAGACAAGGCTGGCAGGTATGGAAGAAGGAAAAGATTCCAGGACTCGTGTTGTTTTGTCTGTGTTGAAAGAACAAGTTAGTGCTCTGTCCATTATGCTGCACTGTATTCCAGAACAAAGCAACTGAGCTTGATTGGGCCCACAACCATCGCATTAAACTTCCACTCCCTTCACCAGGGAACCACAGTGGTAGCAGTGTATGCCATCTACGAGATGAACAGGGATTAAGACCCCAGGGATAGAAGCCCAAAGAGTATGATGGGAAGGTCAATCATGGGCCCATTCCACTGGTGGCATAACGGCAGCAGAGATCAAATGCAACCCCATCCTGCCTAATGATGTTACCTTAATGCCTAGGAATGCAAGATTCCACCTCGCCAATCACTTCAGTGTCAAAATCCAGGAACTGGCTCCCTAACAGCCCTGTGACTGTACCACGTGGACTGCAGTGGTTCACAAAGGCGGCTGACAACCACCAAAGATAATTAGGAACGAGCAACAGATGCCGGTAGTTCTTAAATGAAAGATGAAGAAATTGATAAATTGGTTTCTGTCACAATGCCAAAGAGATGAGGGATTGTGGAACTATGGGCCCATTTTTCCCCTCACTTGAGAAGGGGGACTAATTAGGTGAGTTAGCCCTGAAGTGATACTCGGCGTCATGCCACCTCAATGGTTCAATGCTGGGCAGTAAGGTCTTTGGAGACATTCTCCACTCGCTAGAATAAGGCCCTTAAAGGGTCAGTTGATGGTCCCATATGGGCCTCTACTTGCCATGTCCTCAGTGACCTGCCTTCATGGCAGGTGACTAGATAAGCAGGGTCACCTGCTTGCCACATTGGAGTTGAGGGTCCTCCATTTGCCCCAAACTGAGGGTAATCACAAACATGGGCAAGAGGTCCAAGGGTGTTGACCTTTGAAAGCCAGCCAGCCAGCCCATACTCCCCACCGGCCGTTATCTGATCTCTCTGCATCTGCCACACTCCAAGAAGTGAGAGAGAAGGGCCTGCCTCCTCCCCATCAGATCCCCTGAAGGGCAGGTTTTGCCCAATAGCCTTTAGAATGCAGAAACTGTCACCTCTGACTGATAGACGTTGCTGAGCGAGTTTGCCACTGTTGAGACCTACAGTCCATAGAGAAACACGCTGTAACTTTTTAACTCTCCGAATGTTGCACAGCTTGGCAAGCTTTCTTGGCAGTGTGGCAGGCACTCAGTCAGCATCGAACAGGCCCAACATCCATATATCCGTGAAAAAGGGGAAATCTCCACCAATAAATCTGACTGCTGACCTCTTCCTGTCATGTCAAGAATGTCTGCTTGCAACACCTGTGCTATTGACATTTACTCCATTTGCAGTGCTAATTAGTTACCCAATCTCTCTCTGGGCCCACTTGCTCAGTATTGGGGTGGAATGATTGCTTTTGGTTTCGGGTTTGGAACATGTACTTTGTTTCTGTTGGCGTTGATTCTTGGCTTGGACATATATTTGCTACTGGCATTCACCTGGATCCAAAGAACAGTAAAAGCCAATATTATTATTTCTTTTCCTTCGGGAAGCAGTTTTAGTACTTGAAATTCCTATGCCAAAAATGAACCAGCAAATGATAGGCATATGACTGTATGTTGAGTGTTGTTCACTGATGCATTATTTGATAGGCCTGGGTGTAGTGTGCATCTACAGTTGTTCTTGGCTCCAATGTAAGATCAGCAAAAAATTTAATGCAGCTGTAAAAAATAGAGACAGGAAGACAACAGAGACTTAAATCATGGAGATGGATTGAATGAGTTGAGTAATCCCAAAATTGCTTGACTGAAAACTTAACTTAAGAGGATGTTTTAAAAATCTCACTGAAATTGAGTGAACAGAACTAAACAATGAGAGAGTAGTTGGTGTAAGGCGATTCCAGAAAACATGGAAATTCATACAGAAAAGGTGCAAAAACCTACCAAGGCCAAATGGAGACAACAAGGTGCAGGGCTGGATGAACACAGCAGGCCAAGCAGCATCATAGGAGCAGAGAGGCTGACGTTTCGGGCCTAGACCCTTCATCAGAAAAGGGGGAGGGGAAGGGGGTTCTGAAATAAATAGGGAGAGAGTGGGAGGCGGATAGAAGAGGGATAGAGGATAGGTGGAGAGGAAACAAACAGGTCGAAGAGGCGGGGATGG